TACCTGCCCTTACCTTAACAATAAACTAACCCTAACCCTAATTACAATTAAAACTTCGAAAGTCACGGGGTACAAGGTTTTAGCGATCCCCCATTATTCGTGATTGTAAAAATTACTTAGTAATTTGTTGTCGTAGTTATTTTGGTGTCAATACTGGGGGTAATTCATCAGCCGTCACAATAATTATAAATCATCTTTGTATTTAATTAGTCAATCGATTTTTTTCTTAGTTTTAAATTGCTTATGAAACTATCATGAAGCCGCATATTTGTAAATTATTCATAATTTTAATAATCACAACATACCCATCAAAAATTTTCTCCCGTATGTTATCTTATTTTATATAAAGTACCGGCTTTATAAAAGTTTGACCAGCGTTATTTTATCATTTGATTTGAAAATATGAACCGAATTTAACTCCTCAAATCACCGAAAATTTGATGTTCAAAATTATAAATCACGTGAAAGTTGATTTACAAAAACTTACTGCATAATTACATAAATTTATATGAAACATTACGGTAATTTAACAACCCTAATTACCATTTAACATTGCTTATAATACCAGGGGTCCTATTCAAGAATTTTACTTAGAAAATTAATAGTACCGGATAATACACTCAGACCTCTCTAAATGCATTGCAGCCGGACCATATGCAAAAATTGAGTCAAACGTGCATTTAGGGAGGTACTGCATTTAGGGAGGTAAAAATCTATAAGTGATATATTAGCTGGGCCCAAGAGAAGACATGCATTTGGAGGCTTTTCATAGAGTATGCATTTAGGGAGTTGCATTTAGAGGTGTCTGACTTTGTTCACGAATCTAGTGATTTCATTGGTGGAGAAGGGACATTTTGCGGGTAGGATGTTATTTTTTGGGTGGATACTATAAGCAGTGCCAAACTGTAATGAAAGTATGAAGTTGATATTCACTGGGTTTATCTATTAAATAAACACAAATAATAAAAAATTAAATCAGCAGATAGTTTAAAGATTTCGATCGATGAATCGATTGTTATACACAAACTAAATAATGGCAATAATAAATTAAATGAGTTACAAATAATTTAAATATTTTATTTAATCAAAATAATCATAATATCCAAACAATTAGTATAACTGTAAAATTTATAAATATATTTATCATAACTTTACGTTCATCATCGGAGCAAGCAGAATGGCAAAGGAACAATCGCCACTTAATAGCATATACACATTTCACTTTTCGAATCGGCATACTGTATCGTCTTGAAATAACGTCCAGGGCGTTATTGCAGGATGCACTATTTAAAGAGAGTTGCGAATTAATTTAAGCGAAAAGTTTATTAAGTAAAAAAAATTATCGTTTATATTTGCTTAAACTAATTCTTAGTTTTCTTTGTATTGTGTATAACCCTGGGCGTTATTTCGAGATAATATGGTACAGAAAAGAATTTTATAAATTATTAATATAGATTATAGCAGTTAATGTTAAATTATGCGAATAATATCCAAATTCATCAAGGTTTGTAACAATTGCGACATTCTCGATCGTGAGTTTCACATTTTTGGATACGACCAACCAAAACGTTTAAACGCACAAACCCTGATATAAATAATATAGATAAGATAGAAAATGCCAAGAGCTTTTAAAGTTTCTATTGCCATTATCGTTATCACAATGTGATTGACCAACCAAATTCAGAACTGGAATCATTTTTATCTATATGCTGTATATCAATTATCGCAAATGGCCGGATAAAATTCCCCGGGTCTATTATAGGTTTTAAAATCGCTGGAGTGTAAGAGGCCCGGGTCTTTTATCCGGCCATTTGCGGTACCAGGCCTGCTTTCCACAAATAATGTTCATGGATTTTCCGAAATTACTATAAAGATAAAATTTTGCTGATCACGGTAATTTGACACACTGGTTCGGGTTTCAGTTTCGTGTTAAATACCCAATGTACCTAGAAATTAGGATTAGACAACATTTATGCAATTCATAATTGATGCACAGTTAGAGAACAAAGTATTCATCTTATTGTGAGTTCATGCAAACGTGAATTCATGAAAATAGAATATGCATAATGCATGCTTTTATAGAATATTCGTTTATGGAGGTTAATAGTATTCGTGATTGTTTATAGTGGAAATACGCAGCGCATCGCAGCATCAAATGATAAATACTCAGCGCAATATCACATGAAGCTATTAAGTTGTGTAACGTAGCACATCAAAATTGTCCAACCTTATCTGGTTACAATGGCGGTAGTTAATTCGGTGTTACTGGATTAATATTACTTAAGTTGGAAAAAACCCTATTTTGTAAATTGATTCATTATTGTTTTATCACTTATTATATAACATAATTATTATTGTTATTATTATTATGTGGTTACTACATAATAGTGTTACACGAAATCGGTAATAAAAACGATACCGTTATCACTTTCTTCCCAATTTTTATTAGTTTCCAAGATAGATTTTTGTATTTTACGCATTTTACTTTTTTTTTGGGGTTAGGCTTTTTTTCACAAATTATACACGTTTTAGACGATCCCCAGAAAGGAATTTAATTTATTATGGAATATACCGGGATGTCGGACAAATTATTTTTAGCATGAATAAAATATTACGAAGCGACAATACAATTAGTATATGAAATGTTTGATTATTCACACTACAGATTGCTTCATATTGTATTTAGATCACCATTGCGTCACTAGTACATTATTACTAAAATATAAATCTGTTCAAGGATGTTGCGTGAAGAAAACTTTTAAGCAGTTTGATTGAAATAAAAGCTCCACCATTCATATTACCACATATCATTACCTTTAACAATTACTATTGGAGCCACGCAGTACGTAGCAATTAGGGGGGAACAGAAATTAACACAGTTTACTAAATTTGTGAATTTGTTTGTACTACATAGGTAATTAGATGCTTTTTTTTATAGTTTTGGTAACAAACATATTTACCGAAGGTCCGATTTAATGCACTACTTTTGTACGCTCTACTTCGTATATACTACTCCGCATATATATCGTTATATATATGAATTTATTTGAAATTGGTATAAATATAAAAATTTAACTATATGTCGATATATCGATATTAAATTTACTATGAAGTTAAATTTATTATTAGGAATGACATGAAAAGAATGCAGATAGATAAATAGTTGTTTGGTATATAATAACCAACATCATAAGTAAACTTTGCTATCTAGTTCCAAAAATAGGCACCCCTTTTTTTGGTTATAGGGGTGCTTATTTCGGGGTACTTATTTTTGGAATTACACGGCATTTTAGAACAAAAAAAAAAGGACGGGATGATTTTGATTTTAAAAATATAGATATTTTAGTTGAGAAAAGATGGGAAAAATCCTCTGAATCTACCATTTAACTAAAGAGAAGACATTTGATGATAGTCACAAGAGCACGTACAATTTAGAGAATAACGATAACGATAATCGCACCGAAGTTTGGGAAACTGCACGTTTACACAATTTCATTGAAAATAGATTTATGTGTGCATATGTAATTTCCGGTAATTTTATGAATAATTTTTAATTTATAATAAATAAATAAAGTAAACCACATTTATACTTGAAACAAAACAAGGACCGGAAAGATTTTAATTTTTTTTAAACGGAAAAAAATGTAACACAAATTTAGTTGTATTTCACTTATAAGATAACACTTAATTGTGCATGTAAATAATATTTAAATACCATTTTTTCGTTTCTGATGAAACAACTTCTTTTCTGCTGGCAGTCGTTTAGTTTTCTTGTCCTTTTTCTTTCCTTTACAACGGATCTTACCATTTATTTCGACATAACCCTTACCACTAAATGGTGGATTTGACGGGTTCAACCAAAATTCCTACAAATGTAACTAGCAATGTAAGCAACAAAGCTAAAAACGTTACCAATTCGGCTGATAAAGTCGATAATGGTAAAAAGGTTGATAATAGTAACAAAGTTGACAATAGTAAGTCCGATAATGTCAAGACCGATAATGTCAAAGCCGATGATATTAAACCAGATAAAGTCGATAATGGTAAAAAAGTTGATAATAGTAACAACGTTGACAATAGTAAGACCGATAAAGTCAAGACCGATGATGTTAAGACCGATAATGTCAAAGTTAAACCAGATAGTATTGTAGATAATGTCCAAACCAAAACTGATAAAGTCAAGACCGATGATGTTAAGACCGATAATGCCAAAGTTAAACCAGATAGTAATGTAGATAATGTCCAAACCAAAACTGACAAAGTCAAGACCGATGATGTTAAGACCGATAATGTCAAAGCCGATGATATTAAACCAGATAAAGTCAAGACCGATGATGTTAAGACCGATAATGTCAAAGTTAAACCAGATAGTATTGTAGATAATGTTCAAACCAAAACTGATAAAGTCAAGACCGATGATGTTAAGACCGATAATGTTAAAGCCGATGATATTAAACCAGATAAAGTCAAGACCGATGATGTTAAGACCGATAATGTCAAAGTTAAACCAGATAG